ACCCTAAACCAAGCCCCAAAACCCAAAACCCCAAACCCTAAACCCCAAACCGATGCCAAGATTCGTTCAGTCTGGCCCAGCCATGGAAGCTGATTGTCTCTGGCGGTGGAGGGCCGGGTGCCATGATTGGACCGCCGGAAGCGCAGGTTTCTGTCCGGGATCTGAATATGGGGGGCCTTAATCCTAAACCCTAAACCCTAAACCCTAAACCATTAAGGTTTACGATTTTGGGTTTAGGCTTCGGGTTTAGGGTTCAGGGTTCAGGGTTTAGGGATCTGAATATGGGGGCCTTGAGGTTTACGATTTTGGGCTTTAGAGTTCGGGTTTAGGGTTTAGGGGTTTGGGGTAAGTTAAAGGTTTACGGTTTTTGGTTTAGGCTTAGGGTTTAGGGTTTAGGGGTTCAGGCTTGAGGGTTAAAGCTGGAATAGGGTGTTGGGGTAAGATAATGCTTGAGTACATGGGGACTCTTAGGGAAGACGGGCGTAACGGCTTTTAGGCTTCTGGGGGACTCACACGTTCGAACAGTGAGGGGTCTGGAGCGTTCTTGGGCTGCAAGCTCGGAGCCCGCACGAAAGACCAGCTCGGCTACTTGGTATCTGTGCTCATAGAAGTTGTTGTTTCAAAGTGAAGGGTTTAGGGTTTAGACCCTAAACCCTTCACCCTAAACCCTCAAAGAGTTTAGGATTTTACGGATCTAGACCCTCAACCCTTAACCCAAACCCTGAAAGAGTTTAGGAGTTTACGGATAAGACGACCATCGCTGGAGCTTCGGTCGAGGTGGACGCGTGCAGACGGTTCACCCTGAATACTTGCGGGGGCTTTAGGGGTTTAGGGTATCGGGGTTTAGGGTTTAGGGTTTAGGGTATAGCGGTTTAGGGTTTAGGGTATAGGGGTTTCGGGTTTAGGGTTCAGGGCTTGTTTGGGGCTTAGGGCTACCAAAACCTTTATAGCTACAAAAGCTAAGCCCTGTGGCCTAAACCCTATGCAAGCCCCAACAAACCGCGCAAAACACCAAATTTGAAGTGCCAACCATACAAACCCTCAACCCCTCAAGCACTAAACCGTAATTTGGTAAACCTTACCCTGCACCCCGCACGTTCTCTTCGCATTCCCTACCTGCCCTAAACTAGACGAATTTGTAGCAGACCCCTTTGTTATGAAGCGTGCAAGTACGTAATCGTGTTGGAAACTTCTACAGGATGAGGGACGTCTTGAGGTGTCAGTCCTACTCAGAAGCTACGAAGCTCTTGCTCATCCCTAGATCCCAGCGGGTTCATGTAACCTACCTAGAGTCTCCACTGTTGTTCCTTTGCGGGGTTACCTTATAAGATCCTTAATGTTTGTTTGGTTAAAGCAAAAAAGGAACTACACTGGAGACTATAGGTAAGCTTTTTGGTTGGAACGCACAAACACACCAAGCTGTTCGCTGCTGCATCTCATGCTCCAGCTCTGCATTGGAACTGTTTCAATGGCACAGGCCCATGACTGCTCCGAAGCCGTAAGCACACCATTATGAACCCTGAAACCTTCAAACCCTAGAAACCCCAACAGCCCCTAGAAACCCCAACAGCCCAGCACTGTTGAATCCGGAAGCCTCTACACTATGCAAAACAAATCTCTGAGCCATCGGACCCTAAACCCCTAAACCCTAAACCCTAAACCCTCAATGCTGCAACCCCCGACTGAGTGTTCCGGCGACCACCAGCAGAGCACCCACCAGCCATCCTACAGCTTCGAAGCAATACCTCGCCAGATTCTCTCTTTGAGTGCTTAAGTTATTAGTGTTTAGGGTTTAGGATTCGGAAACCTACTGGCTAGGCCCGATAGTGAAGGGGTCATAACCTGCTATTTGGTTGGGTTTGGGGCTACAGGTAGAGCAATAAGAAAGGCTTGAGAAAATTCGGGGTCGGCTGTTCTGGGTCCTTAGATGGAGAGTCCTACTCTCTAGCGTCTTTATGAGGGTCCCTTGTTATTCTGAAACCCGGTTCGGATTACGGCTTAACGGAGGGCTCCAGTTACTTAACAAGGATGTGACTAAACGCAATATTCGTATACATATATACACATAAACACACATACATACATACGTACATACATACATACAGACAGACATGCATGCATGCATGCATGCATGCATACATACGTACGTACGTACATACATACATACATACATGCATACATACACACACACACACACATATATATATATATATATGCACTGCTACAGGTTCGTCAGCGTTGATTTGGAATACCTC